GCTCGGTTTGAACCCGCCACCTCCGGCATGTGGGGCTGGCGCCCTACTCCTTTGAGCCACAGGTGCCGCCCCGCATAGCATTCTTTATGTATCTGAAAACCAAAATGACGTGTGCTATCCTGAAATGAGTTTGGTCTTTTTACTGTTTTGCTTTAAGAGCCTAAAGATATCTGATGTTCATTTGATGTTCTATTTTTTATTTCCTATCTAGTAAATATGCATTTATCGATTTGTAATTTAATTTAATTAATTTATTTATTTGGCACCCACTAACCACCCTTTCCCGCACCTCTGATAACAGTCGCTCTACTCTCTCCAGGGCAGCAATTACTTTTAATATTTACCTCCCACAGATGAGTGAGAACATAAGAGACTTGTCTTTCTGTGCTCTGCTTATTCCATTTAACGTACTTCTCCAGCCCCCCCTTTCTTGCAATGGCAGGATTTTATTCTTTGCTTTTGGCCACGTAATATTTCATCATGTATATTTGATCCATCCATCCACTGATGGACACTCAGGGTGATTCTGCTGTGGACAGAGCTGCAGTAAACGTGGGAGTGCAGGTGTCTTTCTGAGAAACCGAATTTCCCTCCTTTGGATGTATGCTCTGGAGTGGCATTACTGGGTCCCATGTAGTTCTGTTTTTAGTTTTTTGAGGAACCTCCATCCTTTTCTGCATGGTAGTTGCACTAATTTACTTTCCCACCAACGGTGTACGAGGCTTTCTCCGTATCCCCACTCTCATTTGCTATTGCCCATCTTTGATAAAAGTCATTTTAACTGGGGTGACGTGATATGTCATTGTAGTCTTGATTTTTTATTTCTCTGATAATGATTTTGACTGTTTTTTTCATATACTTGTAGGCCGTTGTATGTCTTCTTCAGAGGAATGGCTTTTCAGATATTTTACCTGTTTCTTACTTAGATTATTTGTTTCCTATAAAGTTGTTGGAGCTTCTTATATATTCTAGTTGTTATGATCCCGTCAGGTGGGTAGTTTGCGACTGTCTCCCCCCTCTTTGTTGATTGTCTGCTTTGCTGTGAGTTCTTTAGCTTGACGGGATCGCAGTTGTCCAGTTTGGTTTTGGTTATCTATGCTTTGGAGATATTACTCAAGAAATCCTTCCCAAAGCAATGTCCTGATTGCATTTCCTCAGTGTTTTCTTGTAGCAGTTTCATGGTTTTAGGCCTCAGATTTAAGTCTGTGATCTTCGATTTGATGTTTGTGTATGGTTTAGTTTCATTCTTCAGCATATGGAGATCCGCTTTTCCCAGAACCACTTCTGGAGGAGACTGTCGTTTCCCTCCCCTGGGTCTTGCACCTTTGTGAAGATGAGTTCACTGTAGACGGGTGGATGTATTGCTGGCTCTCCATCCTGTTCCATCAGCCTGTGTGTGTGTTTTTATGCCAGTATCAAGATGTGTTGCTTGCTATGCTCAATAGTATAATTGAAGTCAGGAAATATAATTACTCCAGTAATCATATTTTTGCTTTTTGCTCAGGATAGCTTTGGCTATTCTGGGTCGTTTGTGGTTTCACATAAATTATGGGATTATTTTTTCTATTTCTGGGAAGAATGTCATTGGTATCCTGATGGGTATTGCATTGAATTGTAGATTGGTACTTTGGACATTTTAACAACTTTAGTTTTTTTCAGTCCATGAGTGTGGAAATTCCCCTTTTTTGTGTCCTCTTCAGTTTCTTTTATGAACATTTTGTAGTTTTCATTTTAAATATCTTTCACTTCTTTGGTCAAGTTGATTCCTAGGTATTTTATTTTGCTTGTTGCTATTGTATATGGGATTGTATATGCTGTTGTATATAGGAGTGGAAGGAGAAAGAGCTGTAACCCAAAGGGAAGGGAGAGAGGTTTTGTTTATTTGTTGTAAGGATAGGAAAATGTGGGTGTAGTTAGCTGTGGATTGGAACCACTTTCTTGGTTTCTGTTTCAAATTGTTTATTGCTGGCATATAAAAATGCTACCAATTTTTGTATGTTGACTTCATATCCTGCAACTGTACACATTTTTTATTACATATTAGTTAAGACTCAGCCACTATATAGGGGCAGACATGGTGCCAGCCCCTGCACGTTGGCTGATGAACGAGATGGATGTGGTGACTGGTGACTGTGCTGGTGGAACAGGCTGGGAGAAGGTCCAAAGCAGGTGCTTTAACAGAATCACAATCAAGGGTGGGCAGCGTGGTAGGGAAGTGCGGAGTGGTGTCTAAGCCAAGATATACGTGAGAGGGGCTGCAAGCCTAGGGTTTGGGGGAAAGAGCACGTCTCAGGTGCGTATAGAGACTCCAAAGTGAGAAAGCACTGGAAAATTTGAAGAACCAGAATGTTCTTCTTGTGACTGGAACCCAGTCCTAGGGAGCAAGAGGGAGCAGTGAGGAGCCGGTCCTGTGGGCCCCTGTACGATAGATAGGGGGCCTGTAGATAATCGGAGGCCTGAGTCTAAGGTGAGGTGGATGGTATTTGTGTGTTATGAAGATGCCATTGGATGGGACTAGGTGTGAGGCCAGTGTAGTTGATGGTAAAGTGGAGAGAAGTCCACCTATATATGGGGAGGTAGGCTTGAGAACGGTTGGGTGAGTGCATTTGGGGAAGGAAGTCAGGGAAGATGGTCTCTGGCTTGGGCAGTGAGGAGGATGCTCTGATTTATATCTACTATAGGAATGTGGGGAGAAGCTGATGAATGTCAATTTGGACATCTTGTAATTGAGATCCCACAGGACATCCAACCTGGCTGAATAAACAAGAGCTCTGAGGGGAGACCTGAATAGGAAATGGGGTTTGGGAACCGTCAGCACACGGGGATGATATTTGAAGCTGGAGAATGAACGAGGTGACCTAACAAGGATCTGCAGAACAAGAAGAACAGAGGGAATTTGACACAGAACCATGAGAAATGCTGACATTCCTGGTCTTATTCAGGGAACAGGAGCCAGCAGAAGATACTTAACAAAACCGAACAAAATAAAACATATTTATCAGAGAAGAAGAGGGGGCCTGGCAGAGAGCAAATAATTTGGTGGTCAGCCTTGTCGAATGTGTCTGAAAGATGACATGGTGATTGCAGGGTCCCCTGGGTCTGCCTTCAGACAGGTCTTGTGGATGGCCGAGAGGAGTGTGCTGAGGAATGAGGGAGGGGTGAGTGTGCAGCCAGCCCGAAGTGGTAGCCAGCTGTCCAAGAGTAGGAGTGGAAGGAGAAAGCTGTAACCCAAGGGAAGGGAGAGAGGTTTTGTTTATTTGTTGTAAGGTTAGGAAAATGTGAGTGTAGTTAGCGGTGGATTGGAATATCTAGCTGAGAGAAAGCGATGAAAGGCCAGGAGGCACTGAGGACATGGCGTAGCCAGGTACAGAGGAGCACAGATCATGACAGCGTCAGAAGCTTCCCAGATGTCTCCAGCTACTTACCGCCCATTTGCATTTGGTATGTCTTTGCACAGCTTTATTATGAAGTATGATTTCTTGTAAACAACTTTAAATCGACTGTGTTATTTATCCTCAGACGCACTTCTTTATATTAAAGATCAACACATCTGTGAGCCACTTTAATTCTTGTCCGTCAGTAGTCTTTGGAAAACACTATGTGAAAAATCAGGCTGATGTGTGAGGAGTTACCTGGGGTCCTACCGTTCCAGGGTCTCTCCTCCAGGACCGCAAATCCTGGCTGCCTCCCCAGGGAAGAGGAGGAGGAGAGGGCCTTTGGGAGACGCTACTCGGGGAGTTCTAACCTTGGGCACACGGGAGAGATTTTGACAGATTTTTCCAGGTTGTTACTGAGAAATTGAAAAGGAAGAATTTGCACAGAGGAGAAAATAGGAATATAATAGGAATTGGTTGTTGAATTAAGCCAGGAATACTACTTAAAAAGTTTTCCAAGAATTTCACGTCCCGGGTACAGTGGACTCCTGAGTTCCTTCGGGCATCTGTTGTTAGTTGATTTCCTGCTGGTACTTTCAGGAAAGGCTGGCAAGCATGTAATGGGCAGTGAATTGCTTTACCTTGACTCTTCTCTTCTGTCATCTCAAGAGATGCAGTCCCGGGGACTCATTTTCTCTGTGCAGCCCCTCTCTCTTGAGAATAACTCACGAATATTGGCGCCCCTCCAGTCTCCTAGTGTGACGTGGGACCCGAAATCACTAACTCAAGAATTAACCTTCTTTTTTTTCATTTGTGAAGGTTACTGGTGGGGCGTATAGATTTTGGGAAACTACCATTTCCTGCAGGAGAAGTGTGTGTACAGAGCGTTTATAGGTCTCTGGGGTCTCCCAAGTGCTGATTATTTCCAGGGAGTGAGCTCTGCTTTGAAACTCAGGTACCGTCCTTGACCTTTCATTCTCCTTGCTGTTCTGTTCCCAGTTGGTTCGACTGTGCAATGAAGGAGCCCGGAAGATGGAAAGGACCGAGATGATGTATACGATTAACTCCCAGCTGGAGTTTAAAATTAAGGTATTCTCTTACCTGTGTTGATTTGTTGCTCTTGCTTAAATCTTATCTAAATAGAGACAGTTGAGGCCAAAATGTGCATAGGAATTTGCTTTTCAAAGAAGAGTCCTAAATTGATTACAGAGAGGCAGTTTATAAATCTACAGTTGCTTGTACCAGTCGAAGTGGCCTTTCTCCACACTGTGAAGTTAGGTATTATCTAAAAACCACATTTGTTTTTTCCATAGAAAGATATCAGACATGGGGGGAAAGTGCAGTTAAAGTACTAGAATTTTAGAATGGAAAGAGAGTTCTTTCATGTCCTCAGAATGTCCTAAAAAACATGAGTATCCCATGAGATGGTATCCCATGAGATGGACCAGGGTGTTCTTGTAAACCAAATAAGGACAATCCTGATCTCGCTTGCAAAGCAGATCATTAATGGACAGCTCTTTTTGTTTGTTTTTCTCCCGTAACGCCTTTTTGAATATGTGCTGCCTGTTACTCCTTGTCTGATACTGCTCTTGAGCAGATGACAAGATGAACAAAAAGGGAGAAGATAACAGTTACTGGCAAATCTGGGTCATGGCTGGTCCTGCACTGGCTCCCAGCTGAGGTCTTAATGGACGTGAGTGCTTGCCATTGTGATTCTGTTGAGTTTTATAACACATAAATTTAATGAAGCAGTTTTAAATGACTGGTTCTATTTTTCCCCAGTGAAAGTGCTTCTAATTCAGGCAAATGGAATGATAGTGAGCAGCATTTCATGGTGTTCTGCTGAGAGCAGATTCCCTGCCAGGCCGTATAGTTTGAATAAGATAGATGTAGAATAGCTACGTCCTTTCATTTGATAAATAAGGAAAGGAAGCCCAGAAAATAATTGTCAGCAGACTCACTTAGCTAGCGGTGGTAAGATCAGGACCAGGGTCCAGGCGTCCTGACCTGCAGGTCAGTGTGGACTCTCCTGCTGTAACATCACGACTCTGCTGGTTTAGATGCAGAAATGCCATCCATAAAACAGAAGATGATACGTACTTGCCAAAGCAACACACTCACTCATATCAGATAGTTACAGTGTTCTCAGGCAGAAATTAGAAAATGCAAAATTTGCTTTTGCATAAGAAATCTCTGGAAAACTACAGAAGAAATGAGTTATTGGTCGTTCCCTGTGGGGAAGGTGTCAGTGGCCAGTGGGTGGAACCAGGTGGATGAGGAGCAGAGAGGGAAGGAGATTTTTCACTTGTGTATAGTACTTGCTTTTTTCTTTAATGGCTTCTTTTGCCCTCACAACAATATTGAATGTATTATTTTAAAAATGTTTTCAGGGCCGGGCATGGTAGTTCACGCCTGTAATCCCAGCACTTGGGAGGCCGAGGTGCGTGGACTGCCTGAGCTCACAGGTTTGAGGCCAGCCTGAGCCAGAGCGAGGCCTGGCCTCTAAAAAGTAGCTGGGTGTTTCGATGGGTGCCTGTAGTCCCAGCTACCTGGGAGGCTGAGGCAAGAGGATCACTTGAGCCTAAAAGTTGGAAGTTGCTGTGAGCTATGACACCATGGCACTCTACCAAGGGTGACAAAGTGAGATGCTGTCTCAAAAAAAATTTTTTTTGCAGCAGCAGCCGTGTGGAGGTTGTGTTAGGAAGTACTGAGACCAGGACAGAGGCAGGTTAGGACATGGGCAGCAGATTTGGAGAGACTGTCTTGCAGGGTGCCTGGAGCAGGCCAGGGGCCGTAATGCCCCGGGCCCTGTCTGGCTGCTGGATGGACTCACACATCACAGAGGGGCATCCAGGAGGAGGAGCTGTTGGTGGGAAGGCAGTGGATCCTCTCGGGGCCATGTTTGGTTTATGGTACAACTGTAACTGATGCTATTATGAAAATACTGAGTTAATTACTGTGTGCCATTTACATACAGCCTCATTCTCACAGGCGCCCCGTGCACCATGCTTTTATTACCCCAAATTTATACATGAAGAATCTAAAACTGAAGAGACTAAATAATTTACCCGAGACCATATACCAAGAGGTAGTGAAGTCTGGATTCAAAGCTTTGTCCGATTCCAGAGGCTATGTGCTCAACAATGACAGTATAATAACGTGGATCTTTTTCTAATTTGGAGGGAAATAAAATCTGTGTGTGTGCATAAACACAAGCGTTTTTCGTTTTTAAATTATGAGATTGTGGGAGAATGTCATGTACTACACAGTGAAGGAAAGCATCCCTGGGGTGGCATTTAGAAAACCAGCGTAAATTACGAGCGTGGGCTCTGGAGCCCTCCTGCCTAAGTCGTGGTAGTAGCGTACCACTTGCTAGTACACGAACAGTACAACCTTGGGTATTACTTACCTTTTCAAGTCTTGGTTTTCTGAACCGTAAAATGAAGCTGATAACAGTATTTTCCCTTGTGGTGTTATCGTGAAGATTAAATTACTTAAGCGCTATAAAGGACTTGGAGCAGACTTGATTCATAACAAGCAAACAGTAAAGATTATCGATAAGCTATGTCTGAATAGTTTCGTAGGCCCAGCGAGCATGTGGCAGAGTGAATGGATGTGAAGCAGTTTAAACAGTTGGGCTTTCATTCACGAAGCTTGACTCTAAAGAGGACAGGCTGGTGACGATAACTGGAGGTGGCACAACATCAAAGGGCCATTTCAGTGAATAGTGTGCAGGACATCTTGGCCGTTGCAGAAAGGGAGCCGGGAGGGAGGGAATATTAATGAGAAGGGACACACCAAGGGAATGAGGTCTTAGAGTTGCAAGCAAGGTGTTGAAGGCAGGAGATCTCATCCTCTGAAATGAGAGGAAAAAAGTGATGGTTGTAGAGAAAAAACTGCTCACTAAACCGAGACGGTCGCAGAACAGAGGTTAGTTTTAGTCTCAGATCTAGTGGTTTTCTCTCTAGACCATTGCTTTCTCTGAAAGTTCCCTCTGTGGAGTTGGGAAGAATTATTTTTTTCTCTTGTAGTAGAAAGTATTTTCAAGTTGCCCTTGAAAGTAAGCACGTGGAGAAGGTGAGTGTTCTCAGGCTACCCCAGGAGCCAAAAGTTGTGAGTGAATAGGGTGCTGGTATGTTAGCTGGGAGAAGGGTTTGCGGATTGCTTTTTGGGGCCTTGCTAATGAATAGAAGTCCAAGAAAAAACAGGCAAAATGAAGAACTCCGATGTGTTAAAAAGTCCTTCTGTTGAAGGCAGTTTCATGGTTTCTCAAAAAGTTAAACAGGATTATCAAACGACCCAGCAATTCTACCTACACCCAGGAAAACTGAAAAGAGGTATTCAAACAACTCGTACATGAACCTTCATGGCAACTTTATTTGTAATAGCCAAAAAAAGTGGAAGTAATACAGATCAGTTGATGAATTGATAAACAACATATGGCCTCTCCATCCAATGAAATATTATTCAGCTATAAAAAGGCATAAAATTATGCTAATGCTGTAACATGGATGAACCGTGGAGACATGCTAAGTGAGAGAAACCAGATTCAAGGGTCACATACTGTGTAATCCCATTTATGTGAAATGTCCAGTAGAGGAAAATTCACAGAAGGAGTGGGAGTGACTCCCTAATGCATAGAAGGGTTTTTTTTTTTTTGAGGTTATGAAAATATTCTGGAAATAACATTTTGCATATGAAATGCACTCCTGTGTATAATGCACACCCACGGTTTGGGTCCAGACTTTTAGGAAAATGACCCTCAAGAAAGTGGTCAGCTCTTGGCTGGGAGAGACACGTCTGACCTGCAGACCACACCGCTGCCCGTCCTGTGAAGGCCGCCCCCCACCTCTCTCCTGGGAGTCCTTCCCTTCCTGCCACATCAGGGACCACAGCCTAGCTGGCCAGGCCAGTGAGAGGGCCACACACAGGCGCCTCGCAGGCTGCTTGGCCTGCGGGCAGCCAGGCAGGTCCCTGGGGCCTACACAAGGCTCTTCGTCCACACAGCCAGGCCTGCGGCCCTCACTCTCTTGAGCCTGGCCTGCCCCGCCAGCCCCACCACTGCCCCTTCCCTGCTTACAGTGCTGGGCGGAAGCTGCTCCAGCCCTGCCCCAACCAGATCCAGATCCTCCTGGACTGGAACCTGTGCGCCTGACAGGCTCAGTGGGCAGGCGTGGCAGCCCCGGGAGGCCCGCTGGGCTCCCCTACTCTGAGGCCTCCTACCCATGTGTAATGTGCACCCTTATTTTTCCCTCAAAAATTTGGGCAAAAAAACACACATTAGACGCAGCAAAATACAGTAGATAGTGGTGCCCACCAGACAACATTGAGACGGTACTAAAGGCCTCTGAATTATATGTACTCTTTGAAGTAGTGAGATGATGAATTTAATGTCACATACATTTATTTCTTCTTCCGAAGCTCTTCCTTGTCTTGCTGCCCATAACTTTGTCACGTCTTACGCTGAGGCTAGCTCTCTAGGATGCTGAATAACACAGAACAGAACCCCTTCCCTACCGAATAGGTCTTGTTCGTGAATTCCCTTTTCTTCTGGTTTGTGGTTCATACCTGGATTCCGGTCTCAGAGCTCCCTTTCTGGAGGAATTCACTCATGGCCTCTCTGGGACGTTGTGATATCTTTTATTTTGGTGATTTAATAGTCTCTTTAAGAGAAACTGTCTGAATGGGTTTAGTGTTCTAACAATAACTTTGAAACACAAACCATTTGCAATATCAGATTTTTTTGTTTTTCAAAAGAAGCACCGGCATATTGAAAGCCACTGTCCAATCTGGGTCTTTAGGGAGAAATTTAGTTTTGTCTAGTGGTGCATGAGGAGTTCATAAAACTCAGATACTTTAAAACAATAAAACATTTCAAAAACCTTTCTTTCTTTCTTTCTTTCTTTTTTTTTTTTTTT